AGACGCCGCGATTCGCTGTGCAAAGATGCGTCCCTTGGGCACGCCAGAAACCTATGATTGTGGGTTCGAATCCCGGTTCGCCCCGATTACGTTTCTAGGTTTGTCAGCACCATACCCGTGCTCGTGGGTTTCACCGAACTGGTAAACGTCTGAGACCTGCATCACTTCGGGCTTTCCTCCCACATTAAGCAGACACGTCGTGATATAACTGGAATAAGCGGCGTTAAACCCAACTCACTCACTCACTATTTCTCCTGTCTTTGTCTTAGCACATAAATTCACTCGCTCGTGTGAGTAAATTGATTGGACGGCTATGTTTAACGTCGGGTCATACGAATCTGGCCCCAAACGAGTCTTTCATGGCGAATGGGTCAAGGGTATTAATCACACTATAAAATGTCATGACAGATTTATGATAGTAATATGAAAGAATGGGGTGTTCCTTAACTTCTTTTGAGTAGTATACTTCATTATGGTATAAACCCTGGGCATATAAACCACCAAAGCTTCGTTTGGGGAGTGATATCTCCAGCTCCATCAGTAACCTTGCACAGAATTTCTCTCTTAAGAGTTTGAAATCGCAACCAATCAAAATGCCTCAACTTGACGCTTGTTCAACAAAGATCTATATTCAAAATGGCGGCCTCGTCCGATCGAGCCCTGGGTGTAATTATTCGAAAATGAAGACTGTTATTATTAAACATTTAGCTCCAAAAGATATTTTCCTAGGGATGTTTTTCTAGGTTTGTTTGTTTGTTTGTTGTTTAACGCTGATCTGCAATAAGGCGGCCTGTAGAAAATCGACTCTGTGACGGATATTGTGAGCAACAACCCACGCCTTCAAGGTAGGAGCAATCGACCAAGTCACTGAACCTGACAACCCGATCCATTTAGTCGCCTCTTACGACAACATAGGTTGCTGGGGACGGACTCAAGCCCGGGATCACCCGGGATCACCCGGGAACACCCGGGAACACCATGGTGTGTTCCGAGTGCATACGAGACGGCATGACAACAGTCGTCTATAAAAAGGTATGGCGGAGAATGGCAAGACTGTAACAGGTGGAGATTTTAAACTAGTGATTAACGAGGAAGCAAAATAACATGTTATACGAATTATGAAACCTCACATTTGGCAGTTTCAGAGTGAGTGAGTATGGTTTTACGCCACTTTTAGCAATATTCCAGCAATATTACGACGGGGGACACCGGAAATGGGCTTCACACATTGTACCCATGTCGGGAATCGAACCCGGGTCTTCGGCGTGACGAGCGAACGCTTTAACCACGAGGCTATCCAGCCGCTCTGCCAGTTTAAGAAGCGGCATTACATCATCAAAAGACATTTAACTTGAGAATGACCTGAGAACTATTCAATATTAAATAGAGAAAAAGTATTTAACAAATAATTTTCACTCTACACAATTTGTCCTGCTTTTATTCATTAACCGTTTTGTATCGATACGGACTTGAACGCCCCTTAGATGACCGTGGTTTCTTTGTCCTCAACCTACTTGGATACAATTTGCATACAATTCTTTGCATAAGAACCGATTAATGAGGATTGGGTGGTCACAATGTGTGATCTGGCTGCAACTGATTTTGTGTCATGATATGATATGATATGATATGATATGATATGATATGATATATCTGCTAGCGGTAGTACACGATGTCAGTAATCAGTGCGATCAGTCAAATTGGATACGGACATTGAACTCTTTGGTTAAAAAATAAACATCCGTAAAGTTGACTTAGGTCTTTAGCAACCCTTGCTTGCCGTAAAAGGCGACTATGCTTGTCGCAAGAGGCAACTAACGGGATCGGGTGGTCAGGCTCGCTGACTTGGTTCATGCATGTCATCGTATCCCAATTGCGTAGATCGATCTTCATGATATCAATCATTGGATTGTCTGGTCCAGATTTGATTACTTACAGACCGCCGTCATATAGGTGGAATGTTGCTGCGTGGGGCATTAAACAACAAACAAACAAAACCACCTCCCCCGATTACTGGTCAGTCTAGTCAAAACTTAATTATTTACAAACAACGGTTGTATAGATGGAAATATTGCTGACGACGCAAAGCCAACATTCACTCACTAACGCTCGGGCGAACTGAATTAGCCATTCTCTTATCATTCGCTGAAAGTCGCCTATCCTTTATATGGAAAGTCACACGATAGTCCGTAATGATAATTATAAAATTATAAATTATAACGTAAGATATGAGAAAACCATTTTTGGAACAGGACAAGGAAATCGGAGACAGCTGGCGGCAACAATTAGCCACGAAAATGTTCGGGTCATTTTTTTAAAAAAAAGACTTCGTGTACACGCTTTTCTCCACTTGAGTTCGCGTGAACATAAATGAGGTCATACTACATGTGAATAGACAGCTGTGAATAAACTGGATTTGGTTTAAAGAGGGACAAGGCACGGTAAAATTTGCAATCCCAGTAACATTAATGGTTTCAAGGGGGCGGTCGGGTAGTCCAGTGGTTAAAGCGTTAGCTCGTCACGCAGAAGACCTGGGTTCCATTCCCGACATGGGTACAATGTGTGAAGCCCATTTCCGGTGTCCCCCGCCGTGATAGGGCTGGAATATCACTCACTCACTCATGAATTCGAGTCTTTGAAACACCAGCAAGTTTATCATATTACATTTCATATCAGCATTTAACAATTATCCAGATAACACAATGTTTACATATGGCACCATCCTCGCTTATCCAGTATATTATTCTCCATTCTATTCTATACTGTGGCCCATTCGCCATAAGAGCTTCGTTTTAAGGCCTGTTTGAATGAGCGAATCACAGTTCATTCATCATTTAAACAAACATCCATATCACCGTGTGCATGATACAAACTGAGTGAGTATGGTTTTACGCCGCCTTTAGCAACATTCCAGTAATATCACCTCGGATACCAAATATGGGCTTCACACATTGTACCCATATGGGGAATCGAACCCGGGCCTTCGGCGTGACGAGCGAACGCTTTAACCACTGGGCTACCCAAGTACAACCTGAAAGTCTTCCAACATAAGGACCTCCCTTCCCATCTCTTATTACTGGGGAAAATATATCTTCCTGGTGCAAATAAGTCATTTATAATGATCTTGTGATCCGTTCAAATAGATGGATGGGTCGTTCAGGTGGGGCCTCGGTTTTGAACGTAGATCTATGTCGAACTAGCGTTATGAAGAGGTTGGTGAGCGAGTGAAATCCTAATAACAGCGATGAAGCTGGTGACGTCACTTCTGACGTCACGGGTCTGTGCTGAGTAGCATTCTAGAATGGAGATATGATACACTGGATATGACATCTTTAGCAACATCTGGACCAGCGCCCCGTTTAACAAAGCGATCTAAGCGCTACGGGTGTCGTAAGTCTGTGTTAAAGTATGGGAGCTACGATCATCTTAGCGCTAAGATCGCTTTGGGGAACAGGGCTCTGGTCTGAAAATTGGCACTAGGCTGAGTTAGGTGGTCCATCTTCAACATCTAGTGCTTCAATAGAACAGATCCACGCTTTGTATTAATTGTACTGTTTCAATAGACCAGACCTACGCTAAATATTCATTGTCCGACAATGTACCCGAGTCTCGATCAACACGACGGCACCGTACATCCATTTACTATCTACAGAGCACGCAACAAATTGGCAGTTCCTCTACTCTTCTGATACTTCATGAAACGGTGAACTTGTTAAGGGTTTTAAATACGAAATTAAATTACCAATGGTTTATTAAGCCAGCCATATTTTGATATTATGATAATTAAAAGTATTACAAGGGTATATTTACACGGTACACTTTATTTGTGCCAATTTGTTGTACCATATTTAGTTCGACTCTGGACCCGACAATCCAGTGATTGATATAACCTACGGCCCACCTCGTCGGGGTACGATGACATGGAGGACCTTGTCACTTAACCTGACCACACGGTACATTTAGTAGCCCCTTGACCGCCTACGTGGTCTAGTGGTAGTGTGTCCGCCCGGAGAGCGGAAGGTCCGGGGTTCCATTCCCGGCCGCGTCGTACAAAAAGACGTTAAAAGATGGTACTTGTTGTTACCCTGTCTGGCGCTCGGCATTAAAGGGCTAAAACAAGGACTGGGCGGCTCGGAGTCAGTATACTGTGTCTGAGTGAAGTATTCATGTTAAACTGCGGCATGGTATCTCAGTGTGCTAGCACTATAAATCGGCATCAGTCCGGACTAGTACAAGCAGCCACACACACACGTACATGCACATCGCTATATGAGTGCAATAATCTTGGACGCGACCTCAAACCCCATTTCACTTCACCCAGTAGCCTCTTACGACCTTCATAGGTTGCTTGGCATCTTTTCTTGCTACGAACCAACAAAAAGGGTAAAATGCGTCAGTCTGACTATCTTTGGGAATGAGAATCATAGTTTGCTGAGGACCAATTCTATCCAGGAATCCGTGTGTACATGTATGGACTGCAGTATCAAATCATGACATGTTGTTAATCAGAAACGACACAAAAATCCATAATTTTAAAAATTACGAAAAATTGTACCGATGACTAATAATTCAATTACTTTTTACTGTGATCGCACTTTTTTAACGTAACTTATACTGAATGTGTCGACATATAGTATCTTACGTGGATCGATGCTCACAATGTCAATCACTGCTTTGTCTAGTCCTGACTCGATAATTCACAGACCGCCGTCATATTGCTGGAATATTGCTTAGTGCGTCGTAAAACAACAAACAAACAAACAAACAAACATATAATATCAAGTAGGTGATATGTTTGGTGTGTTTATCTTCTTGTACTCGGCTGTTAAAAATCGAGCTGTTTATTTTTAGCCATTCTATTTTTATTTTAAGGCCAGGTCGTGCACACGTGTACATGAATTGGCAGTTTAATGTGTCTTTTTAAATTACGTTATTATAGAAGTCTATGGGAAAGCATTTGGTGGTGAGAAGCCTAGTATCGCTCGTGACCTTATCTGGTCTGTCTCATGAAGTCACCGTGTCACCTCGAGAAGGAGGCGGTCCTGCGTTCTGGGAGCGGCGGTCTGACGTTGTAAACATCTAGGTCTGGGATTGTTGATAATAAAACATATAAACACACACACACAGTCAGACCGTCAGCAATTCTTGAAACAAGGTAGGTGTGCTGTATACGAGAATAATATTAACCTATAGTCTCACCTATGGTGGTAGGTATGTCATTTTTCAGGTATGCTAATATTTGATGTTTTTACAACAAAGCTGGTATTTTATTTAATATGGTGAATAGATCTTACTGTTGACATTTGCGCTACAGCTCATGAATCGGACAGTACAAAATGACCCTGGCTTGGTAAATATAGATGCTTGTGACGACGAGTGTATTTTGTGTAAAGACTGGCAAAGTGGATTGAGTTTCAACTCACAATCCGTTATTCGATCTGGACAGAAGGAAAGCGTTTTAGAACTTGAGTTTTTCTCGTTTATCAAAAAATATTTTGAAAAGTAAATATTTTGATTCATTGGATCCTGGGCCCGAAAGAAACCTACATTCTATTTCTTGACCTATGATTTTCACGTAATGGTATGAATAATTTTTTTATTTGTCTTTTGTTTAACGCAACACACAACAATATGACGGCGGTCCGTAAATAGTCGAGTCTGGACCAGACAATCCAGTGATTGGTATCATGAGCATCGATCCATGCAATTGGGATACGATGACATGCATCAAACCAAGTCAGAGAGCCTGACCACCCGATCCCGTTAGTCGCCTCTTACGACAAGCATAGTCGCCTTTTACGGCAAGCATGGGTTGCTGAAGACATATTCTTCTCCGGATCTTCAGGGGTCATTAGTAAAATTAACTTATGAATGCATGTCCTAGTTCGCCTGTACTTCCAACTCCATCCACGGACATATCCAGACTGCAGCAACACCTAGGTAGCCATGCCAATACTTGGTGGACTGGCAGATGTGCGTTTTATAAAACCACCATGCATAATTGTCAACTGGATCTTTCCAAAAATGTATCTAAATGTTATCTTGCTTGAAGGCATGACAACGTATTTATTGTTGTGTAACGACGTTCAGGGCTACATCTTGTCCCGTCTGATGACGTTTCAAGGATGCATATAGAAGAAGTTTATTCATGAAAGAAGGCCACATGGCCCAGACTTCATTTACAGGAATAATATATGCTGTGCACATGCAAAATCTTCTTACAGCAAACGTTAATATTTTTTACATTTGTATTTACATTGGTAAATGTCTTTTTAAATATATGGACAAGGTTTTTAATAACAGAATCATTTCTGGTAGATAGAAGACTGATAAATATTTGAACAGATGGTTGCACGTGGTAACATTTTGGAATTCAATTTTCTCTACTCCTTTTATAAAAAGGACAAATTAACAAAAAATGGTATTCATTTTCTATTTCATAGCGGTTACATTTCATACATAAACTAAACGATGACTCTGTGGTTGTATTAAATCGGGTTTTCTGTACATTTAGATTATGGCTTAAACAACGGAATTTACATAAAGCTAAAAGAAGATCTCTTTTAAATGCTAAAGTAGACAAGTATTTTTTTGGGTTCGATTAGTGATTTATAAGATGAATAAACATCAAGGAAAGAAGAATTAGTGATTTTGTAATGCCAGTTTTGAAATTCTATATCTTTACATCGTTGTTTGAATATAACCATGAAGCATTTCATATCGCCGCAATCCTGAGACAACCATATGAAGGGCTGCATATTGTCCCTTCTGATGACATTTCAGGGCTGCATATTGTCCCTTCTGATGACGTTTCAGGGCTGCATATTGTCCCTTCTGAGACTTTTCAGGGCTGCATATTGTCCCTTCTGATGACATTTCAGGGCTGCATATTGTCCCTTCTGATGACGTTTCAGGGCTGCATATTGTCCCTTCTGATGACGTTTCAGGGCTGCATATTGTCCCTTCTGATGACGTTTCAGGGCTGCATATTGTCCCTTCTGATGACGTTTGAGGGCTGCATATTGTCCCTTCTGATGACGTTTGAGGGCTGCATATTGTCCCTTCTGATGACGTTTCAGGGCTGCATATTGTCCCTTCTGATGACGTTTCAGGGCTGCATATTGTCCCTTCTGAGACTTTTCAGGGCTGCATATTGTCCCTTCTGATGACGTTTCAGGGCTGCATAGTGTCCCTTCTGATGACGTTTCAGGAATACCGATTGTCCCTTCTGAGACGTTTCAGGGCTGCATATTGTCCCTTCTGAGACTTTTCAGGGCTGCATATTGTCCCTTCTGATGACGTTTCAGGGCTGCATATTGTCCCTTCTGATGACGTTTCAGGGCTGCATATTGTCCCTTCTGATGACGTTTCAGGGCTGCATATTGTCCCTTCTGATGAGGTTTCAGGGCTGCATATTGCCCCTTCTGATGACGTTTCAGGGCTGCATATTGTCCCTTCTGATGACGTTTCAGGGCTGCATATTGTCCCTTCTGATGACGTTTCAGGGCTGCATATTGCCCCTTCTGATGACGTTTCAGGGCTGCATATTGCCCCTTCTGATGATGTTTCAGGGCTGCATATTGTCCCTTCTGATGACGTTTCAGGGCTGCATATTGCCCCTTCTGATGATGTTTCAGGGCTGCATATTGTCCCTTCTGATGACGTTTCAGGGCTACCTATTGTCCCTACAACGTTTCAGGGCAGTATAGTCCCTTCTGATGACGTTTGCCCCTTCAGCAAAGTCGCGATGAAACGGATTTACAAATATAACTGCAAAAAGGTTGTCATCCATAAAGGTTTCATGTCTTCACGTTCTTACAACTTCTTAATGCCAATCAAGGACTTGTTATCTTGTTTTTTTTATGGTTTAACGCGGCACTTAGCATTATTCCAGCTATATAACGGTAACCTGTATATACACAGGATCAGACAAACCAGTGATTGATAGGAGCAATGTCCTACGCCGAGCCTGACCACAAGGTCCATTAAACTCCCCTCTCACGACAATCATACTTGCTAGGAACCAGTTCTAACCAGATACCCTCGTGGGGGTAAAATGATATCTGAACCAATAATGTTATCAAAAGATGTATGATTAAACCAAACAAGACATTGGAAAGTCATACATATTGCATCATACTTACTGATATACGAACGCTGGTTCGTGTGATACATCTTGTTTGTTTGTTTGTTTACACTTGAATTATTTTGAACATGTGGTGTTTAGTTGTCGACCATGTACACCTGTGTGGCTGTCGCTGTCGTCGCCGTTATCGTCGTCCTCGTGAACGGAGCGCCTTTAAATAATGGTAGGTGAGGTGAGCTGAAATGGGGTTTGACATTGCGTTGAGAGAGAGAATGTGTGTGTATCTGCGTGTTTTATAGTATACCATGCCTCAGTTAATAATAAATACACAGCTCAAACACATTATACTAACGCCGAGCCCTCCAGTCTTTGTTTTAGCTCCCTAAATGACTGTGGCCTCTAAATAGTCGAGGCTGGACCAGACGCACCAATGGTTGATATTATGAATAGCGTCCCACGTCGCAGGTATACGATACCACGCAATCAACCAAGTTCACACGGTACAACTAGTTGTATACAATTTGTTGCATGCAACACATTGCATCGTGTGAACGGGCATGTCGGTCCAACTTTTGACGTATGCAACTTGTTGGACGCGAGTTGTACGAAATAGGACATGCTCTATTTTCATGCGACAAGTTGTATGAACGCAGCCAATCAAAACGCGTATGAAAATCACGTGACCATCCAATACATTACCTCTCATAATAAACATAGGTTGATGGGGGCCTATTCTTACCCTTACTCCTCACAGAGCCTGAAATATACCAGCCTTACAATCTGTGGTTCTTATCGGAGATGGGCGGTCGGGTAGCCTAGTGGTTAAGGCGTTAGCTCGTCACGCCGAAGACCCGGGTTCGATTCCCGACATGGGTACAATGTGTGAAGCCCTTTTCTGGTGTCCCCCGTCCTGATATTGCTGGAATATTGCTAAAAGCGGCGTAAAACCATACTCACTCACTCACTCTTATCGGAGAGTCTATGGGCGCGTTGCAAGCCAGGAATCGCTTAGAGAAAGCGTTTGCGCACTCTTCCAAAATGGCGGCGCAACTACCGCCGGGTTGCCTTGACGTATTGAAGAACGTAATAGAAGAGGCTCGAAGACGAGCTGATGAAATTTATGACTACATTGAAGATGTGGAGCAGACTGAGGATGATGGGGTGTTAGCTGCCTTTGCTCATTTCCTCGTTGATCCAGTCAAGAAATTCGTGTTTTGCTGTCAAAGTCAGCCGCCATTTTGGTTTGAGAACGAAGCGACTTCAGCCAGAGATTGTTTTGCTTGCAAACGGCTGAAAGTTAGCGCTCTGTTGTAAGGCGAATCGCTGTACATTGCTTGCAAGCGATTGGCGCTTTGCAACGCAGCCTATGTGTGATTGGTACCGGCCCGGATACAGCTTCAAAAATACCCATTTCAAACTGAGCAATATCTGAGTCAGTACTCGAATAGTGTGTGGTAAATGGTTGAATAATAACAATGTATGATTATTATTTTGTATTAGTTGACCAGCATCTAATGTCTCAACTGTCAAAGAGGATCCACTAAAGATGAAGCGTTCCCCCAAAATATATCCCAGATATGTAACAGGGTTATGTACGGTTAAACCCCCCCTCAACACAAACTACGTTATATTATAAGTTAAAAAGTGGTAGAAAAACATATATGCACTAGCGATACGTCTTTCGCGCACAGATACGTGCTGTAGGCAATTACCTATATCCTATATAGGAAAACAGTAAAATTATTTATTTTAAATTGCGTTTTTTCGATACCATAAAAATGTAAGCAACCCTCATTGTTTAAGAAACATATTACATGTTATCGTGTTTTCATCAGTGTAGGCACGGATTACCCAGTCGTCTAAGGTGCCGCCATTTACTGTGCAGAGTTGCGTCCCTTTGGCATGCCAGATGATCCTAGGATCGAATCCCGGTTCGCCCTGATTATGTTTCTGGGTTTGTCAGCACCATTCCTGTGTGGATTTCACCGTGTTCTTCTGAATATTAATGACACTGCACATTTTACCCATAACGAGACGTATTCCACTTGTCTCATATATTGAGTTGATGCGTAATAATATCAACATCCCTTCGTTTTCTTCTAATCTGATAAACTGTGTTTTCCTTTCAGGTTTACCTGCTGGCGAGGTAAGTTGACTACAGTCTATTTAATCTATTTATAATCAAAGGAGACATATCTTATTCGGGCCGCTCCGTGGTCTAGTGGTAGAGCGTCCGCCCGGAGAGCGGAAGGTCCGGGGTCCAATCCCCGACCGCGTCATACCAAAAGACGTTAAAAGATGGTACTTGTTGTTACCCTGTCTGGCGCTCGGCATTAAGGGAATAAAAAAGGACTGGTCGGCTCGGAGTCAGTATACTGTGTCTGAGTGGGGTATTCATGTTAAACTGCGGCATGGTATCTCAGTGTGCTAGTACTATAAATCGGAATCTGTAAGTTTTTGTTTGTTTGTTTGTTTGTTGTATAACGCCGCACTTAGCAATATTCCATCTACATGACGGCGATCTGTAAATAATCGAATCTGGACCACGCAATCCAGTAGTTGACATCATGAGCATCGATCCACGCAATTGGTATACGATGACATGTATCAACCAAGTTAGCGAGCTTGACCACCCGAACCTGTTAGTCGCCTCTTACGACAAGCACAGTCGCCTTTTACGGCAAGCATGGGTTGCTGAAGACCTATTCTACCCCGGATCTTCGCGGGTCTTCTTCAAGTAGACATGTGTATTCTCTATACTACTTGTCGTCTCAACCCTAAGCTCTGCATATATATGAATTGTGCATTTAACTCGATCTGATCATAATGTGACTGAATGAACCATGCTCATGCTGTCGACCTTTAGTTTGCTTTTTCTTGGCCAGAAAGTACTTTATAATGTCTAACGTAGCTTAATGTTTTGTGCGTACGGGGACTCACTCTCTTGAAAGTTGAACGTTGATAACAAGGTTGACCAGATGCGGAAGCCGCGTCCCACTGCCGACAATGTGATTGGTCACTACCCTATCAAGATGATCCTTGACCTGCTGAATGTTGACCACGCTGGCCTCGCTCCGTATCTAAGGAGGGCTCGAAAGGACAGAAAACAGGAAATTGGAAACGAACTCCTTAAATTACAGGTACATTTATATTTTTCCACCTTCAGGGTCAGGTAACTTTGACGGACAAAATGGTAATCAAGAGCAGGTAGCTCTCGCCAGTCAAATAGCTACTCGGGTCTACTCGGGTTATTCCGCTACCGTCAGGTCCTTTTGCATTCATCACCACTCGCCCCTTTCCGTAAGCGTCAAGAAGACCCGTCCCCCTATCGATATTATGTGCGAAAATACGACAAACCAATAAAAATGCGCGTATGACTTCAAGTACTTCGGTCAAAGAATCCCTCAGGAATAATGTTTGATTTTACATATTTCTTGCATTTAAAAATATACCTAAGATACAGTTAAATGTGTTCTGTCATACTGTATAATACTGTAAGTTCCAATATGTTTTCAATAGCGTCTGCAATGTATATGATGTATGGGGGAAATATACGTGAATCATTACGCAAGGTGTTGACAAGTCTTTTAACTATGCCCGTTTGCGCTTAGACAGAACCCAGTCGCGAAAAATGGTCCCGAGCATTCGTGACCAACTCGTGTTATATTCCGAGACAAGCCGAATAGCGACTCGTGCCCCTCCATGGCCATTTTTGCGACCGGGTTCCGTCTTAGCGCAAACGGTTATACCTAAAACAATTGTCAACTCGTTGCGTAATGGTTCGCATATATTTCCCCATATATTATATATATATTTCAGATGCAATTTAAAGCACATCGGGACGTGCGGAATTATACAGTATGATTGAACACATTTGACTGTGTCTTGGGTATAATTTTAGATGCAAGACATATGTAAAATCAAAAATTATTTCTGAGGGATTATTTGACAAAGAACTCGAAATCATATGCGCATTCTGATTGGTTTGTCGTATTTTTGCACATAACATTCATCGATAGGGGGACGAGTCTTCTTGCAGGTCACGGAAAGGGGCGAGTGGTGACGAATGATGACTTCAAGTACTTCGGTCAAAGAATCCCTCAGGAATAATGTTTGATTTTACATATGTTTTGCATTTAAAAATATACCTAAGATACAGTTAAGTGTGTTCAGTCACACTGTATAATACTGTAAGTTCCGATATGTTTTCAATAGCGTCTGCAGTGTATATGATGTATGGGGGAAATATACGTGAATCATTACGCAACGAGTTGACAATTCGTTTAGCTATGCCCGTTTGCGCTTAGACAGAACCCAGTCGCAAAAATGGTCACGAGAGGGGCACGAGTCGCTATCCGGCTTGTCCCGGAATAACACGAGTGGAGACGTACGAGACGAGTGTGTCGCTATGATTAAGGTTATGGCTTGGGAAGGCGAAAATCAATCCCTCAGAGTTAGAAATTACGTTCGCCTTCCCCGTCATCACAAAAATTCTTATTATGGCAGATGATCGCCTTCCCGGTACTTGTTAATTACAAAGAAAACACCAATGAAATGAGGACACTATTTAATCTGGACAATGGAAGTTAGTAATTACATTCTCTGAGTTCAATTTTAACAATTTTAGTAGATTATCTCTTTCTTTATTTTTCCGTCTCACGAGTTCAATGGAAGTAAGTAATCATATTCTCTGAGTTCAATTTTTTTTTATCTCTTTCTTCACTTTTCCGTCTCACAACACCCCAGTGTCCTCAATGTATAAGTGTCCGTTGTATACATAACGAGGGTACACATCACTGATCTTTTCATTCGCCTTCCCGGTCCCCAGTCCTTTACCCCTTCATTCGCCTTTCCGGTACTACTGGTAAATAGATTTTCGACTTCCCGGCCCGACACCATGATTAAATGTTAACTGGTCCCGCTGTTGGTTCTCGCGGCAAGCTAAGCGCTTCCCTCTTAAAGGAGACAGGAACCAAGTCTATTTTACGCGGCGGCGGAAGGACAATTAAGCAATTTGCAATCTGTGAAATAATAATTTAGAATAAAGTACAGATGTCGCAAAACAAAGAGAGAGAAGTTATAAACATATGTAAGATTCAAGACGAGGAAATAATAAAATTCGCTATATGTGCTCAGGCGAATCAACAAGTTATGCAATGCGTTAAATGAAAACCTCTTCGGTTAAAGTATAATAAAAGCAATGACCTCGGCTAAGACTTTAAGCTCATAATTCTCTTCACGTACACCAGATTACCAGATAAATCATGACGAGCGGAAATCGTATCTCATAAGTGTTTTAAAAACTCATTAGGCCTTGGCGTAGCTGTTATTTATAATGCACATGCATTTGACTTAATGGATACCAAATGCCAACGCGATAATTTTATTAAGTTGTTAAAGGTAGTTTTAACATGGCATTTTGAAGTTTTACCCCAATAGTTGAATGTTGAACTGTTATTCTCAACCTCATGTTATAGTGTCTGTTGAAAAAATACCTCATTAAACCACACACAAAATAAAATAATATTTCTCCTCCCCCCGACCCCACAATCGGGCTGATACGCCGCTGATCTTTAAAACAGATTATATTTCGTTTCCGATTCCGTTTGTTTAAAGTGCTTACCACTACAAAGCTGCAGTTGCCCAAAAAGGAATTTGTGGCTCTGTATATGATGCAATTGCAAAGAATAAAAACTCAAATCAAAATAGTTTATTTACCCTGTGTACTTTTTCTAATTGATGAGAAGTGAGGTATTGTTTATCTGTGGTCACACTATCAACGCTATTTGTCCTTCGTCCGGCTCCTGTCTGGCGTAGGCGAGGCACATGGGCGCATTGAAATTAATTGTTATTATCGCAGGAGTTTTAAATAATTTGATTCTTTATCCGAAGTGTGGCTGTGAGCAATTGTTTTTCGGAATTCACTGTTCCTCTTTTTTGCAATTTTTATTCCGATCTTCTTAATATGAGCGCGCAGTGAGATCTTATAACTGCGCGCACCTCCCACCTGGCACAAAAATAGCCTGACATGAGTCAGTATACTGTGTTTGAAGACAAGTATAGATTAGGAGCATTATAAACACTTTATAGACACACCGATGCTAGCTCGAATGTTTCAAGTCAAAAATCGTCTTGTAAAGTTTGTGCCATGAGTTAATGAACATTTTACAAGAGAAATATGAAAATATATGACTTTTTGGTTTTCTTTTAAACAAAACGGAAAAGGGATTCATAAATAAGTTTTTTGTGACCTATTATTTTGTTAAATTGTTCCACTATGATTTGTTTGTTTGTGGTTTAACGCTGCACACATCAATATTCAAGCTACATCACGGCGTCCTGTAAACAATCGAGTCAGGACCAGACAAACCAGTGAATGATATTACGAGCAACGTCGGAGAACGATGACATTACACCACCCAAGTCGCCCAGTCTCATCACCCAAGTTGTTTGTCACTAGAAAAACATATATTCATATCTGACTTGAACTTCGTACCTGTAGTATTCATTAATCCTTTTTTCCTTGTCTGCAACATTCTGACGTTTTGTTGCAGTTGCAAGCCCTCCTGTATGAAGAAATTTCACAATTTCCGATCAAAATGCACCTTTAAGACATATTAAAGGTAACAATTCTTTTTAATCTGCTCAAAAAGACATAGCACTGGACTAGTAGATTATTTCGCTTGTGAACTCATCTGTGTCGTCATCTGTGTCGTCATCTGTGTCGTCATCTGTGTCGTCATCTGTATCGTCATCTGTATCGTCATCTGTGTCGTCATCTGTGTCGTCATCTGTGTCGTCATCTGCATGCAAGGGAAGCGGGTAGCATGGTGGGTTAAGGCGCCGTAACATGCTAAGAGTTGCGTCCTTAAGCCATGCCAGGATCCGCTGATAGTTGGTTCCGTTCTACGATTTTGTCCGATTATGTTCCTTGATCTATTTACTTCACATCCGTGTTCGGCATTAAGCATGTATACGACCAGTGTCATTAAAAGCTTCTCCTTGCAGTTTGCCGTCAGGCTGTGGTTGAACCCAAAACGTTCGAACAAATCTAAACGAAACCCACTCACTCATTTGCTCTGTTTTACGCGCTGTTTTATGACGCGGTACACATGTCACACCGTTGGTGTCGTGCATAGCGATGTAGTTGACTATTTCGCTCGTCACGCTGAAGACCGGGATCCATCTTCCCGTGGCAAGGGCATTAACTGACTGTAGAAGTCCAGTTTCCAACCTTGCCGAACTGGGCTGGAATTTATAGGCACGATCGTAGCGCTACCTGTGGCTATTACGAGTTATGTCCCTTCTATATCCGTCCTAATGACCAATCAGATTCCACCTCTCATATCACTTGCATTTGCTTCAAACAAAATGGCGGTGCCCAGTCATGACGATCTCATCGATAATCAATAATAATAAAACGGGTCTAACTTCACGAAGTGCATCAAATCACGTGAGCACCTTGCTTAAAAACATGAAAAGATTTGGAAAATATCTGTTGACGCTAAGTTGACGCGTACGGTGCACAAGTGTTGTAAATCCTGCAATCGATCGAAATCTGCACGGCCGTTTACGAACCGGATGTTGATTTCGTTCCAAGATTTTGATTGGACTATTCACAGACTTGTTAGCCTAACCGAATTATAACTCCATAATTGTAGTCTAGTTCGGCAAGGATTGGAGTGGACGCTTATAGTCGGTTATCTCCCTTGCCTCTGGAATATGCCCGGGTTCAGTTACGTCATATTAGTCCTTGTCTTTGGACCGCTCGGAGTCAGTATACTGTGCCTGAGTGGGATATCCATGTTAGCACTGCAGCATGGGCTAGCACAATTAAACCGGCGTCAATCCTGACTAGTACAAGCATGCACGTCGCTATGTAGTCGAATATCTTGACTGACTGACTGAGTATGGATTTACGCCGCCTAGCAATATTCCAGCAATATCACGACGGGCCGGGGACACCAGAAATGGGCTTCACACATTGTACCAATGTCGGGAATCGAACCCGGGTATTCGGCGTGACGAGCGAACGCTTTAACCACTAGGCTACCCGACCGCCCCCGAATATCTTGAAGGCGACGTTAACCCCCTTTCACCTCACCTTGTCCTTGCATAAAAACGAACGATTAAAATACCACATTACTCGGTGTATATGATTATATATTATCGATGCAAATTATTGGGGATGATTTTGCAAAAGCGACGTTTGAATTAGGTGTGTGGGTCTAGAGAGAATTGTTTATCTGACATTAAAATGTCACGTTAGATAAGATATAAAAACTCGTGATCCATTTATTTTCCTTTATCATATATACATGTATTTCAGCTGTCGTGTATAGTGATCGTGTATAGTGTATATTATCTGTCTGGGTTTGCACACATGTGTCGAGGTGTGCGCGCAAAAGTACATCTCGTGAAATCCCGAACACCTGCTTGTGACAACTGAAAGGAAGTTCCGATCAGAAATTCCCAAGTTTCGCTGACGTAGCTGTGAATGACAATTAGAACTATCTTAGCGCGATCTGTGTCTGTTAGTTACGGTGTCTTTAGTTGCCATATACGGTGTCATATTAGGTTAGCAGAAACATATTGGGCTAAGCGTATCACAAAAATGCCGCATGTTTACGGTGAGGTGAGGTGAGGTGAGGTGAGGTGAGGTGAAATTGGGTTTAACGTCGCGTCTAAGATTATTGCACTTATATAGCGACGTGCATGCACGTGTATGTGTGTGTGTGGCTGCTTGTACTAGTCCGGACTGATGCCGATTTATAGTGCTAGCTCACTGAGATACCATGCCGCAGTTTAACATGATACCCCACTCAGACACAGTATACTGACTCCGAGCCGACCAGTCCTTGTTTTAGCCCCTTAATGCCGAGCGCCAGACAGGGTAACAACAAGTACCATCTTTTAACGTCTTTTTGTATGACGCGGCCCGGGATCGAACCCTGGACCTTCCGCTCTCCGGGCGGACGCTCTCCCACAAGACCAGCATGTTTACGGAAACCTGCGGGCCACTGTAACTTCATAGCAGTCCGCTTTCCTCTAACGACGGGCTGCTGTCTCTTCATTTGCTTCACTTTTCTTGCTTGTGACGTCATCTTATAGTATGCTCAATGACGTTGCTATTTGTAACTCAGTGACCTCAGTTGTAAGTTTCTCTATAATTTTTATCAATAAAGTAACGAACGTGGTTTCTTTATTAAAAAAATGTCTTTGCTCATCACAATTAATGATATTAAAACACAAACCAGTGTCAAATAACGAATTTCTGTACCAGAATTTCCATGTGAAATGAGATTGGTGTTGGAAAAATTAAAATGGCTGTTACTGACGGTATACGGTCTCATATAAGGTCAGTAACAACCATCTTGGATTTTTACTGACGGAATACGGGCTCATGTGGGGTCAGTATTTCTGCTCTCTTATTGGTCAATCTCACTTTGAGGCATAATAAATGCAATTATGGCGTCACAAGCAAGTGACGTCATACATTATGACAGCCCGTCGACTTATATGAGTTTTTACAAGATGGCGACTGGCCAATCAGATTATTATATTCTTTAACAAGTATATAAGACAATATCCCCTGATTGTAACATATGCTATTACCCTAAAACTATTGAGCAGAGTTTAAAACAATTTCTTTTGATATCTTCAGGAAGGAAAAATGCTAGTTGTAAATATATGTCTTACAGGTTTCATATCATCATCAAAATTTGTGATAATGGTATGAAAAATTATCGGACATTTTTTCACAAACGTTTTCGTAACTTTAAAATATTGAATTCCATGTAAGCCAAAAATGGTCCTTATCCTACATTGTAATTTAAAAGAGAGATTATGTGATGGGATTCGTCACTGTCTCTTTCATCACAAAGCAAACACAGCATCGAAGCTATCCCGACGGTAGCAGCCATTTTGAATATTGGATTTGTTGGAATTTTAAAAGTCCTTTGGGGTGCATTTTGACCTTAAACCAGGGACAGTAGTGTTAGGAAATGCATGATGGGGAGATAGTATGGACAACAGTACAAATGTCTCCATGAAATGGAATAAGGAAGCCCCCCTCTTCTCCAAAATGATTTTAACATTTCCACACCTCGACTGTTTCAGGAGCGAGCCTTGGGAGAGGGAGTGCATGGACAAGCCTAATCGCAATACATCTGTGACATGGAACTTTTGATGTGTTGTTTTGTGTGTTTGCTGGATATTTTGTATATATAATCCTTTTGATGCGTTTGTTTGTACCTGGTTGCGATTTACAACGTCGGGCGTTTACACGTTGAACACTTGACGTATAGTTCACAACTCGCCTACTCCCCCTGTCAGCTAATAACTAGACTGTCGTTATCGAGGAGAAGTTGGGCTTATAACGGGAGAGGCAATGATGGAATACCGACTCGCTGCACAGGGGGATTTACAGTGCATTTCCACACACCCCGTGGTAATTCCGGGTTAGAATTGGTCCAATCTCATTAAAAACAGATCTTAGTTCTCCCATTACGGGTCATGTCAGACCGACCTTGCGCGAACTGTGACAGATGAAATGACCAATCAGAAGGCAGCTTTCTCGTGCTTTACGGCACTAATTTCAAATTGGCGACTACGCTTCGAAACATATTTTGACAAATTCTCGATTAAAAATTTGAAACCTGAACAAAAGAACATTCTGGAATGGCTAATAGATGGGCTAAATTGTATGGATGCAGTCCTTAAACCAATAACTATCGTTGGGAATAAAGTTTTCGAGGTTGCATGATTAGAAATCACATTCCGACCGGCACTTGCATAATCTGGTAAGCGACGCTCTGATTGGTCGGATGAAAGGTCGTTCTGACGTGACCCCTAATGGGATGTCTTCAGATCTTTGTTTAGCGGTAGCGAGAACTAAGGTCTGATTTTAATGAGATTGGAATTGGTCCAGCAACCTATGCTTGTCGTAAGAGAGGTCTTAATGGATCGGATGGTCAGAGTCGGTGACTTGGTTGATTGCGTGTCATCGTACCCCGACAGTGTGGATTGTTGCTCACAATATCGACCACTTGGTTGTCTGGTCCAAACATCTCTGAGGGAAATAGGGAATCATCATCACAAAATATTGTTAAAATATACTTATTACTTTCCCGTGAAGAGATCACCCGTTTAATAAACATACAGCTTTATTACACATTGTGTAATACCAAAACGCGTGCTTATGTACTCTCGGAACACGTTTCACGAACAAATATTGAAAGCTCTCAACATCCCTTGGCGTATTCAACGACATTGTGTGTGGAGATGATAGATCACTGGGAGGAGCTTATGCACACTCGATGACCCCAGCAACCTTGTTGCTAGGCTGACGTCACATGGCATTGTTTCGCCGATGGATCTTGCAACAAAATTCAACAAATTACGTCATCGGGTATTGTGACGTCATTGTAAACTTTGAGCTGCAAGGCCCCGTTCCACAAGGCGATCGTACTCTAGCGCAACGAGAGTCTTTAGTCTAAGTTAAATTATGTGAGTTGTGATAGCCTTAGCACTACGATAATTTTGTGGGACGAACGCCTGAATTCTAAAGGTGGACCATTGTATGATATTAAATTCATACGTTTCAACTTTTGACGTGTTTGAAGTATTATTCTGTTAAACTCAATTGGATTATGCCATGGATCGTGTAGGTGTCAGCCTATTTACACTCAACAGTATAATTCTAAAAACATTATAAATGACAAGTAATAAATAAAATACTAAACTCGCTCTCGTGTAAAACCAATTTTATGAAACTCGTGAATAGTTGTGGTATCTGACTCGCTTTCGCTCGTCAGATACCAGAACTATTCACTCGTTTCATAAAATTGGTATTACACGGGAGCTCGTTTAGTATTCTATATATATCCATCTCTTAATAAATGGTATGTAGATATTTAAACCCAATCAGCGATGTAGAAGTGCGCTGTAATTACTACAGTGGATTGTGACACGATGTGACCTTTGGACGAAATGAAAGAATTTAAAGTTAAAAGCTGTGATACTCATTGTGATATGGGTGTCAAAAACATGTCACCATATACTTGTTCCTTTTGACATTACATTTATTTGAAAACGTTCGAGACAACCTTTGTAAAGAAAATGGCCGCCCCTTAACGATGACATCATCAGGAACATGTCGGATTCCAGAGCACAATATATCCCCAGATAAAGGAGGATGGAGTACTCAATATGTATAACCTGGCTGAATGTGTATTATCTAATCTCTATCGGCGTTTTTTCAACCACACGTTTACTTGGCTTAAACTTAGATTATCGTTGACACTACTGTCTGAATTCCATGATAGGATCGGTCTTCACCAACCCATGCTTGTCGAAAGAGACGACTAACGGGATCGGGTGGTCAGGCTCGCTTAATTGGTTGATGCATGTCATCGTATCCCAATTGCGTGGATAGATGCTCATGACATCAATCAATGGATTGTCTGGACTATTTACAGACCGCCGTCATAGCTGGAATATTGCGGCGTTGAACAACAAACAAACAAACAAACAAACAACATTGAGGAATGATTGCGCATGCGGTGGAGTGGTTGAGGAAACACACATTGTCGTACAGCAACGTCACGTTATCAGAGCGGTGTGGAGCAAAGGGCCAGGCTTCACAAAGTGATCTTAGTTCGACGACTATCATCAGTCAGGGAAAAGCACAAACGTTACGCTAGCCGTTGCGCTGCGATTTGTGAAGCAGTGCCCCGCGTGGCTCCGCAAAGCGACAACTGTTGTAAGTCATGTTTCAGTAGCAGAGTGCGTCTCAGCGTTAATATCGCTTTGTGAAACCAAGCCCTGGTCCTGCTATCATTCAGTAGGTCAGCAGTGAATGACATGCAATGTGATCGTTTGCGGACACAGGAGTAATTTTATTTGAAATGTGGCTGTCATTGAATGCTGGATAACACACTGTGAGCTCACAATCGGCTTCAGGGGGCACGGGTGGCCCAGTCGTCTAAAGCGCCGCGATTCGCTGTGCAGAGTTGCGTCCCTTGGACACGCCAGAAACCTATGATTGTGGGTTCGAATCCCGGTTCGCCCCGATTATGTTTCTAGGTTTGTCAGCACCATACCCGTGCTCGTGGGTTTCACCGAAGTGGTAAACGTCTAAGACCTGCATCACTTCTGGCTGTCCTCCCACATTAAGCTGACACGCCGCGATATAACTGTAATACTGTTAAAAGCGGTGTTAAACCCAACTCACTCACTCACTCACAATCGGCTTCACCTAAAACGATTGCCTAGGACAATACAAGTGGGTGACATGACTTGAACATGCATGGTCTGAATATATCCTTATCTTCGCCCACCACGCATCTACACGTAGTCAGAAGTCCAAGGTGTAAGTAGTAGTAGGTATAGTCAAATCTCTTTCCCATTAAAATAGTTCAAAACTGTGAGCGACACATTTATTGAAACTTACACTCATGACTCACTGTATATATACATAGAGATTATTATATGAGCATGAGTGTCATACTGATTCTGAACATGTGAGTGTAACAATTACATAATCAGATTTATGATAATTACAGAGATATTGTATTGTATGGTATAGAAGGAGGCACAAAGGAGTGTACTTTGATTAATTATTTACTACTGCTAACAAAGTATATTGTGTACAGATGCAAAGTAACTGAAACCGACTGCCTTTTTAGAATATTTAAAAGAGAACTAGAAATACAATACAAAGTACTACAGTATAACAATGTTAATCTTGCAGAAAAAATTAAATGTGTACTGAATAATTAGATGAGTATTATTGCTTTAAGCAACTCAAACCCAAACATAAAAATATAAACCCTTGTATGCCAGTCCACGTGGCAATGTACAGGGCCATGTAAAATCGTGGACAATTAACATGAATAAATGATGTTAAAAAAAAAAAAAAAAAATAAAAAAAAATAATAATAATAATTATTTCTTTATTACCCATGATTTCTTTATCCTTTTAAACTCCCCTTTATAAAAATGATCGCCAACGTCAACAATGTGCAGCGTTGACGTCGTTTCTAGTGTAACGTCATTCCGACCTTACGTCACAATAAGAATCGCTTGACGTCAACAATGTCGTTCGGATGACTAAAACAATACAATGGTGCGCGAGAAGTGATATTTGCAAGAGTGCACATACGATTTTTAGAACTCAGTTATTTCTAACACTATTTGGTCATAAAAACAATTATGACGCTTGGTGTTCATGACACTACGATTGTACAAGTGCAAACTATTATTCTCTCACGTATTAGGAAGATGCCATTTTATACGTGTGACAGTCAGTTGTAAGGTGTACCCATGGTTTTGAATGAAAAGATTATTAATTTAGTCGCTATATGAGCAGCAATTGTTGGAAATATGTGTCATGTTTATACTATAGGTACACAATTCAATGGTATAAGCTGATAATCGCCCACTCATACACTGAACATTCTCGATAATCCAGTGTTTCATACACTGATTCATTATGATATATACCCTCTACTCGTAAAGCGACCGCCTCCGTGGTCTAGTGGTAGAGCGTCCGCCCGCAGAGCGGAAGGACCGGGGTTCGATCCCCGACCGCGTCATACCAAAAGACGTTAAAAGATGGTACTTGTTGTTACCCTGTCTGGCGCTTGGTATTAAAGGGCTAAAACAAGGACTGGTCGGCTCGGAGTCAGTATACTGTGTCTGAGTGGGGTATTCATGTTAAACTGCGGCATGGTATCTCAGTGAGCTAGCACTATAAATCGGCATCAGTCCGGACTAGTACAAGCAACCACACCCACCCACACGTACATGCACGTCGCTATATAAGCGCAATAATCTTGGACGCGTCGTTAAACCCCATTTCATCTCACCCACCATTCGTAGAGCAAAGAGGGGCGGTCGGGTAGCCTAGTGGTTTAAGCGTTCGCTCGTCACGCCGAAGACCCGGGTTCGATTCACGACATGGGCACAATGTGTGAAGCCCATTTCTGGTGTCCCCCGCCGTGATATTGCTGGAATATTGCTAAAAGCGGCGTAAAACCATTCTCACTCACTCACTCACTTCAGAGACCATATTGTATGTTACATATACTTCACTATACTCAGATCTTGTCTTTGAAATGAACATATTTTACAGAAAATGAACAGTTATAGTTATAGTTATAGTTATAAAATATAATTAAAAGGAGCCAAGAAACTTTCTTCCTTTTCAGATACTGCAGTAATCTAGACCTGCCAAATATTATAGACTTGCATGGGCTGTATTGGATATACTCGCATTTGTTTCAGGGTCTGTATGACAGACTAATACTTCACGAAACATGAGGATCACGACTTAATCGTGCTACAATCAGACAATCCCATGTATGAACTGGAGACGAGGAAACGAGACCGAGTAAGTCTAAGATTGTAGAAAGTCAGGCACAATATAGGTGAACTTTAAAGGTAGATAAAACATTTGATGATATTCTTGTTTCACATTAACATATATGGTTATGAATTAGAGTGATCCTAATATCAAACGTGTCCTACTCTAAGTTGTTTCGTGAGAGGATTGTAATTATACCAAATTATTTGATTACACAATAATACCATATCTGTAGTCCAGTGCTAAACGGAGTTGCTTCCCTTTGCCGTGGCACGATTCGCTGGTGTTGGGTTCGAATCCCAAATTCTTCATGATTATGATGTTCACTTATTTCTGTCAGCCTCATGCCCATGATCATGTGTTTCAACGGGAAAAAAGATCTATAATCTAAAACTTATGTCAGTAAACAAGATCAAGGTGACCTCCATGATGTGACTGAAATAAAAAAACTCAGATCGGCGTTAAACCAAATGCACTCACTCTCTACCAATGTTTGGGAAACGTTTTTTTTCATAAATGTATGATTAAAACTACATAACATATCCTGAACACAATCGTTTAATAATACGCCATGTCACTAAATATACATACAAATAAGGTCTTTACTTCAAGAACTTGTGAGTGAGAGTGAGTGAGTGAGTGAGTGAGTGAGTGAGTGAGTATGGTTTTACGCCGCTTTTAGCAATATTCCAGCAATATCACGACGGGGGACACCAGAAGTGGGCTTCACACATTGTACCCATGTCGGGAATCGAACCCGGATCTTCGGCGTGACGAGCGAACGCTTTAACCACTAGGCTTCCCGACCGCCCCCAAGAATTTGTGAATATATTAACTTGGTCTCGTCGCTATATGGCTGAAATGCCGATGCGACGTTACATTTTGACTTACTACTCTCTCACTCACTACTCCAAGAAACAGTCTTCGCTTTTGAAATAAACTTAGAGCTTGAACCTTTCGATTCACAAGAATCAGAAGAAAAAGACGAAGGGGTTCCGACACTTGCTGAATCAGGTTCCTCATCGGAAGTTTCGGACAACAAATCAACTTTGAAATTATTCAGCCCAAACATATCGTTCGTTTGCATGGACATAATTTTATCTTTCATCTTCCCAAAGGTCTCATTATTCCTACCCTTCGTCTTGTAGGCAGTGTATATACACACACCTAGTACCAAACCCGCAAATAGCACAACCCCAGCCACGACCAGACCCGTGTACAACTTGTACTCCAGCATAATGTTGTACAACCGTTCATACAACGGCGGAGGTGGAGTTACGGCAACGTTGTACCACGCTGTATGCCACGTTCGTTTTGTTACCGGGTCTGTCACTGCGCATGTCCAATTTCCTGCCGAACTTCTTCGTATCTTTTTAACAATAACTTTCTCGCTTGTGTTTGTTTTTATGGCTGGTTTATATTCTGTGTCATTCAAAAACCACTTTACGTTTGTTTCAGGGTACATCTGTGACAAAACATTACTGTGGCAGGTGAGCTCCAGCGTCTCTGTTTCACGGACACTTTTTGAGGGCTTTTCTGTCTTCACTGTCAAAGCATACACCCCAACCGTTTTAAAATTCTTCTTGGTGTATTCCATTAAGCATACATACACACCGGTGTCTTCAGAGTTTAAATCCCTGATTGAAAATGTCCCTTTGAATAAAAACATCCGGGATGCATCCATGACAATAGGGTATTCGTTGACTGACCATTGGTATATAGATTTGGGGTACTCTGAAGCTATTTTCTGTGAGATTTCGTTTTTACAGGGAAACTCCACACTATCACCTTCGGTCCTCGCGAAGTCGTAATGCATCCTCTTAATGAATTTTACCCACAGCTTCTCGGTTTCTGAGGATAGACTGTCATCTGTGTACTTCTGAAACATCTTTTTGTTTTTGAACTTATCATAAAGCCAGAACCGTTTCTCCCTTCGTAACACCTTATCATTGGAAACTCCGTCTGTGTTACCACTGTTGGCATCAGCTCTGATTCCTGAAATAATAAAAATGGTTATTTTATTGACTCTTTCTAGTTTTTGCCCTATAATGGTGATAATACAATACCGTGCATGGTTGAAGAATGGATGCTAAATGAGGGTAGATTTATTTTTTTCAAATTTAAGGTGTACAAGACATATATGGTAGGAAAAAAACCAAATTGTTTTAATGTATCCTGTTAAACATAGATATCCAAAAGTGTGCGGGCCGGGCGGTCGGGTAGCCTAGTGGTTAAATCGTTAGCTCGTCACACCTAAGACCCGGGTTCGATTCCCGACATGGGTACAATGCGTGAAGCCCATTTCTGGTATCCCCCGCCGTGATATTGCTACAATATTGCTAAAAGCGGCGTAAAACCATACTCACTCACTCACTCACTCACCAAAAGAGTGCGTCAGTCGAAGAACAACAAAGTTTCTTTGGGGAGACTGGGGCTCTGGAGGGACGGGGTATAGTTTGGACCACTGTTCTCAGTATTTCTGAACAAAGCCCACCATTTGTTTTTTGATACATTTTTCAATTATCCATGTACGAATGAATGAATGAGTATGGTTTTACACCGCTTTCAGCAATACTTCAGCAATATCACGGCGGGGGACACCAGAAATGGGTTTCACACATTGTACCCTTGTCGGAAATCGAACCCGGGCAATCGGCGTGACGAGCGAAAGCTTTAACCACTAGGCTACCCGACCGCCCCAACAGTATTCATGAAATCCCATTGCTTTAGGTTATAAGTTATTGCACATTTGACTTATGATACAAAAATTATTTTTAAAATGGCAAGAAAGTATGTAAGGGAAAATCATGCCTGTGTACATACCATATGTTAAAAAGAAGGGAAAATGGCTATCGTACGAGAGAGAGAGAGAGAGAGAGAGAGAGAGAGAGAGAGAGAGAGAGAGAGAATGAGAGAGAGTATGTGTGTGTGTGTGCGTGCGTGCGTGCGTGCGTGCGTGCGTGCGTGCGTGCGTGCGTGCGTGCGTGCGTGTTCGCTATTATTGGTTTGTTTTGTCTTATAAATATTTTGGGCGATTGGATGGCCAAATAGTTAAGCGTTAACGTGATAGGACAGCTAGTAGGGCTGGGACGAGTCCAAATTTACAACCCGGGTACCCGCTGTAGGTCTCCAGAGATAGGGCCAAATGTCCGACTGGCAATTGTATGACCGAAGCCCTGGCAAAATGTATTTAGATACTCGTATAAAACGATCTGGTCATGCATAAACTGAAGTTGACTAAAGTTTTATCTTTATTCAAGCATGTGAAGTGAGAAGGAACGCAAATATTAGTCACTTATAGTGTAACCATAGAGTTCTAGATAATTTTTGTCATTAAACAATATGTAACGTGATTAATCACGGGTCCGGGTAGTCCTGTCGGTTCCCGGGTCCTACTCAGTACCCACCCGACCCGAGTACCCGAGTTACCCGTCCTAGCCCTAACAGCTAGGTTGATGTGATGAAAATATAGTTTGCAGACATCCTACCTTGAAGAAAGAGGAGGAATGCCACGAGCATACAACTGAGCGTGGCCAATATCGCCAAGACTAGTTTTGAAAGCTTCATATTAAAAACCCAGTTGGATCTATTTCCACTGCGGTTGTCGTTCCGGCGATCTCGTTTATGACGAAAGGAAATATGTACGTCATAACTATTGTGTTACGGCGCAACCGCTCAAACACCGTGACGTCATCATTCACTAAGAGTTATCTCCCTTCGCCGGTGGCGCAAGCTCCTTCCCAGCGCGTGACACCTTCGTTACACTCTCGGTAACGTTCTATCGCTGTGAGGAGCTTGGTGGCGCCGTTGCATGACTTCCGCCACAACGTCTTTTTCTCATAATGATGTTCGGAAATAGAGTAATATGAACTGCAAAATATGAGTAACTCGACGCCAGGTGGGACTTGCATTCCATGTTTTCAATAATATGTCGGTTTAAGTTTGGACACTGTCCTGTACATTCAGTAATAACAATTCTGTTAAAATCCATTATCCATTTATGACAAGATTTGAAAATAGCTCAGACGTTTTCTAGCTACTCGATCAGGTGTGTTTTTATTTAAACGATAGGGCAGATAAACTTACTGATCAACATAAGCTTATAGTATGTGCAATGCATATTCATATTAGTCTGTTGTCTTCCTATTTTCCGTTCATACTTTAAAATATTAATAAATTATTGATAATTAATATGAAAATAAATGTAATCATTGTTCGATGCCCTATGGCTAATAGGCCTAATCATGGTGTCAGTCAGATATTTTGCAAAGAGGTATTATACGCCTGAGTGTTAGAGTCTGTCTTTATTCATTTTTTTAGTAAGTGAGAAATATTAGTGACATTGATAGTTAATCCTCAATTCGGCGTCAGAAATTGGCACAAGTCCTCTTGTCCTTGCCAAACTGCTCATAGGTAAGGTATCATAAGGACTAGTAGAAATTTGCCATTATTAAGGGTTTTGATATATGTGATCATTATAAGGACAAGTTGATTAAAACAGTTAATTTCTATCGCTGCAATTTCTGATAGTTTCGATTATGTGATGTCTGCAGGCACCCCAGGGTGTCACTGGAAGGAGTCGGCCATCTTGAGAGGGGAGAACAAACCAAGTGCTACACCGAACCTCGAGGCAAGTGGAAACAGTTTATCTACCAGATGCAGCCTTGCTTCGAGAAAACTCCAGTTCCAGGTGTGTATTGGGACCCAGGGACCCACTAAAGGACATCTGCATCACATGATCTGCATAAGTTTAGCAAACAAGCTTTTAGAAATTCATTCGACATCTTCCGTAAAAACGTATTAACGTTCCCTCCGGTTAAGGGACCCAAACACTGCAGTCTACCCGGAAATTGTTATATGATAGTTATCTGATAGACATGATCCTATGAATGAGAATTTGATAAAGGAATATATTTCAATATTTGAATGTTTTGGACATGTAGTAACACTAAATGTATTCAGCAGGTAACTAAAAACAACATTTTGTCCAAAATTGCAGGAACCAGGTTTTTCTGACGTTTGAGCATAAGCAGGGCTAGTTTTCTTTGGGCATGAAGAAAAAGTTGGGTTGGGTCATGTTGAGTCTCAGATTTACTCATAGTAAAAGTTAAATTCGAAAGATCTTCCCTTTTTACTCAGCGTTTTGCTTCTTTATTTTGTCATGTGATCATGCTGTCAGGTGTAAGAAAAAAAAAGGGCTGGGGCATCTAATGACAAAATTGAGGCGACCCAAACTTGCACGCGAAATAAAAAACAAGTCTGCTTAATTGGGTTTTAATATAGTGATCAGATTTAACGATGTGGAAAATTCGTGAATTTTGAAAGTTGTCCTGCAAATTCTGTGTGACACTGGTTCTGCTGTCTTGTATATATAATTCTGGTTAGTTAGCGCTTGAAAATAATCTGGTACTTACAACTCGTTTTGCAAATGTGTAGTATGCCTTGTCAGCAGTCATCTTCAAGTCAATTATTATTTCCAATATTAGGGGACACGGGTGGCCCAGTCGTCTAAGGCGCCGCGTTTCGCTGTACAGAGTTGCGTCCCTTGGGCACACCAGAAACCTATGATTGTGGGTTCGAAACCCGGTTCGCCCCGATTATGTTTCTAGGTTTGTCAGCACCATACCCGTGCTCGTGGGTTCCACCGAAGTGGTAATACCCGTGCTCGTGGGTTTCACCAAAGTGGTAAACGTCTAAGACCTGCACCACTTCGGGCTTTCCTCCAACATTAAAGCTGACACGCCGTGATATAACTGGAATACTGTTAAAAGCGGCGTTAAACCCAACTCACTCATTATTTCCAATATTAAGTCAGTAACTTTAACACATGTCGCTATTTTCAGTCAGAAGAGATAAAAGGACACGCCATTGGAGCTCCGCGCATCTCAACGGAATCATGGAGAGACAATCAAGAATTATCCCCACCATTTTACAACACAACAACCAATCCGCACTTCCCCCAGCCGGCCGGACACCAGCTAAGCCATCCCTGTCGACCAATAAAGACACCGGCCAACGGGTCAGGCTATACAAGCAGTTTTGGAAGTGTTCCTGGTGTCGGTGAAAAGAATCAAAATGACTGGCAGATGTCTGACACTCCCGCTTCATATATTACACGAGGTGATGACCCCAGTAGCGGAACACCAGGTTTACGAAAATACGACAACAGTGAACTTAAATCAGGAAATGGATTAATTAATGAATCCCATTCTAAACAAGCAACACCAAACATGCCCATGACTAAAGGTCTTCAAGCATCTGTTCCAAACAGCATCAACGATATTAACAGATGTATTGTGTATTCAGCACAGACGAATAATCTGACTCCGATTAGTAATATGCTGAAGACATGCCAAGTGTTTCATCCATTGGACGCAGTCCCACAGAATCCCCGGTCTTCTCCTGTGAAGGGTCAAGTGCGGTCGTTGATGGACGGCGGGGATGCACTGGATGTTAGGGGCCTGGCTTCGCGGTTGGCCAAGATGCAGTCGGAGACCAGGATGCGGGATGCACTGCAGGAGTACATCCACACCCACGTCCCTTCTGTTGAAGGAAGTGTGAACACACTGATTGAAGACACCGTCAGGCAGATTGCCACTGTCAGCCTGCGGGACAAGAATCCCAGGAGATGTCTCTCCAGCATTACAACCACACGCGATTGGATGAAGCTTCAAAATGGCAATGGAGAAGCTGCCTCTCCTCCCATACGCAATAACCACAGAGGGCCACAGTCAACAAGTCCAAGTCCGGATCCGGTTAGCCCAAAGTCCACAAGTCCGAACAATAGGAATTTCATGTCAATGAAACAGGACCAAACTGGTTCATCCTCATCCAATCGAAATCAGTCGGAATTACGTTCAGCGAATCAGAACTCGCAGATCGCACAACCTGTTCCCACTGGTTCTCGCGTTGATGATAACCCGCCGTCAACAAGTCACGTTTGTAATAATTTCAATCGGCAGCAGCTCTCTCAGATTCTGGGCGTGTCATCATCAGAGATGTCTGATTTGGACATGGGCAACATGAGAGAACACCGGCTTGTAAATGAGTACACACTCCCAGGATGCAACAGTGACAACCGGAAGGTGACGGAGGTCTACAATGTGGGCGGCGAGCTACTCTATACCGACTATGTATCTCCAGAAGAACGCCGATACGAACATTACGTATTGCAGACGTGCCACACGGCCAAGAGGAAGTTACGGGATGTTGACAACGGGGAGGGACACGGGGGGAAGAAGAGAATGTCTTTCTTGAGGGAAGAATTCACCGATTCCAGATTCATTAGGTTCAACAATGGCTCGTGGGATTAATTATTGAAGGGTGGAATTCAGAATTTTAAACTAATTAAAGCCTGATAAATATACCAGTTGTGTACTTGGACTTTCTATGCACTACTCCTTTAGTGTTATTTATTTATTTGTCAATTTGAACAATTGTTATCTTTTGCATGATATATATTATATATGAAACGAGTTTGTAACTATACACATGCCACAGTCAGCCTAAATTGTATGTAATAAATTTCATTGTAAAAAAGTGAGTGAGTGAGTATGGTTTTACGCCGCTTTTAGCAATATTCCAGCAATATCACGGCTGGGGACACCAGAAATGGGCTTCACACATTGTACCCATGTCGGGAATCGAACTCGGGTCTTCGGCGTGACGAGCTAACGCTTTAACCACTAGGCTACCCGACCGCCCCTCATTGTAATAAAAAACGTCTGGGACGTATGTTTTATGTTTCGGTAATAAAGGTATTATACAACGTCTAAAGTAACTCTTCGGTGTGTTACATAGGTAGGTCTCATATCCTACCATCTTCTGATTGTTTAATGTTCTTTGCGAATTAAAAAAGAACGAAAAATCTCTTGAACTTTAAGGGTTAGAAGAGTAACCTCCTCTAAAAGAACGCAACTGAAATATTTTATAGACGCTTCCAAAGAATCGCCGTTGTCATTGTCCGTTGTTCAACTCTACCATCAGCTGTCTGGTGGTCAGGCTCGCTGACTTGGTTGATTCATGTCATCGATCCCAATTGCGTGGATCGATGCTCATGATATTAATCACTGAATTGTCTGGTCCAGACTCGATTATTTACAGACCGCCGTCATATAGCTGGAATATTGCTGAGTGTGACGTTAAACAACAAACCAACCAACCAACCAACCGAGTACTGTAAGCGACATTCTCGCGATCTCGACCTTTGGAAACGAGCTAAATATGCCAAAATGCGAGAATGCGAGAACGCGAGATTTTGGCCAAAATATTGTGATGGAGGATGCTTTTACGCCGCTTTTAGCACCAGAAATGGGCTTCACACATTGTACCCATGTCGGGAATCGAACCCGGGTCTTCGGCGTGACGAGCGAAAGCTTTAACCACGAGGCTACCCGACCGCCCCTTTTTCCATATGCGCGACAGCGGCCTAAAAGTGATTGAGTCTGCACCAGACAAACCAGTGATTGGCCCCACAGCGTCTGGGTACTAGGACATGCTGTCAGTGAAGACGCCATGCAAGCCTGACCACCCGATTCAGTCGCCTCTTATACGGTCCAAAATCCCAACAAGGGATGAGTGAGTGAGTATGGTTTTACGCCGTTTTTAGCAATATTCCAGCAATATCACGGCAAGGAACACCAGAAATGCGTGAATTAATACCTGTATACATCTAATATAAATTATAAAGAACATATCTGTTGAATAGTGTTCATTTTAAACTAAATCTCATTGAAATAAGATATTTTACTCCGATACCATTCTGCGTGAACATCTGACATTTCGGCCATTCAGCGTCGAGGATTCTAAATTATCGATACAATGAGCGAAACTTTCGAACTATATCTGCCTTCTGTATATTGAAATCTAACGTATACAGCCAGTTCCGATTGTAAATAAAAGTGACTGCGGCGTTACAGTGTTATGGATAGTTAATACACCCTGTCGTTTCGAAGCTACATCTGCATCCAAATGAGAATACCATATCGAAGGAATAGATGTGTTCTGGGTTGGTTAACTTTTCTTTTGTTAAAATCGAAAATTCCGTTTCAAGACGTTTAAGAAAAATCCGTATCGATTTAGAAAGATGATTGTTCCAAGAATACACACAGCCTTAATTCGAATTAATTTCGATTGGCCCGTCAAAGTTCGAAAAGGGTTCACCTGACGCGACTTTCTGTGCAGAGAAGACTCAGAGAAGATGTGTTTTAATGAGATTGATCATTCTGATGAGAGCATTTTACATTTACACTGAGCAGTTGCACTTCCTCGATTTTCTCATTGCTGGCAAGACCCGTAAAGATCCGGGTAAAATATGTCTTGTTTGCTGATAAAGGCGACTTTGCTTCAGTCGTAAGAGGCGACTAACCGGATCGGTGGTCAGGCTCGCTGACTTCGTTGATGCATGTCATTGTATCCCAATTGCGTGGATTGATGCTCACAATGTCAATCACTGGGATTGTCTGGTCCAGTCTCGATTGGGGGCACGGGTGGCCCAGTTGTCTAAGGCGCCGTGATTCGCTGTGCAGAGTTGCGTACCTTGGGCACACCAGAAACCTATGATTCTTGGTTCGAGTCCCGGTTCGCCCCGATTATGTTTCTAGGTTTGTCAGCACCATACCCGTGCTCGTGGGTTTCACCGAAGTGGTAAACGTCTGAGACCTGCATCACTTCGGGCTTTCCTCCCACATTAAGCTGACACGCCGTGATATAACTGGAATACTGTTAAAAGCGGCGTTAAACCCAACTCACTCACTCACTCCAGTCTCGATTAGATAAGATTATTTACATACAGACCACCGTCATAATTACGTTAATGACCAACGTATTTGTTGAGAGTGAGAGAGAGAGAGAGAGAGAGAGAGAGAGAGAGAGAGAGAGAGAGACGATATACATAGAATATATATCGGTAAAGGATCTCTGGATTTACCAACAATGCAGCTTATTTTATTCTGAAAACAAGTTTGTATCTGTTTTAAAGTATGAAATAATAAAAATTGAAATAATAAAAATTTATATGTGCGTTTGGCACTAACTCGATGTGACAAGGATACCCGGAGAATGGAAACGGGACTGCAAAATGATAACGTGTTTCGCGCTCAAAAGGGCAGGCTACTCTACTCAAGCGAGCACTTGCCGCTAGATGGCAGGATAACGTTGCTACCTGTAAACAACATGGCAGACCAGTGGCACGCTTTTTCGTGAAAAGGGGTGTTTGACAGGCTCTGTCATGTGATGTAAAGTTACCTCATGGAAATTGCGGAATATGAAAATGTATTGAGTAAAAACAGATATGGGATAAAGAGAAAAGGTAAGATCAGATGACCCGCATTGAATATTATGCGGAATTTAGAATAATGCTGGTCTACTTCGGAATGTTGACATTGTAACAATATGTTGTCAAACGGAAAAAGGAAGACAGTCTTTTGACATGTCATGATATGAACGATGCCTATTTGGTAGCATTACAATGACAGTTCGTTATAAAATTAAGAACTTTAACAAGACACTTTGTCACGCACGTATAATGTCACATGAAAAGGCCTAGGCCTAATACATGACGATGTAAAGAGAAACTTGATAAATGGTTTATTGAAATCTCGACATTTGACCAATGCCATTAGTAATTATAGATTTACTTTTCTTTGTCTAATTATTTTCAGTGAATGTCAGTCTCCAGATGTGAGCATAAGTTTTTAAAGCATTTACTGGCAATGTCCCTGCATCTACAAGGCCTAAAACTAATTCTGTGGTTCAGATTAGGCCTCTATTTCTATTCTATCCCTTCAGGAAAAGAGTAGGTGGGGCTTTAAAATGTTTTTTTTAAACCCTGGTGAACAGCTGCAGCTGGTTATGTTGTTTTTGTTATATTTTAATTTAAGCTTTTTTAAGCTATCAGTAACAGTGAACAAAACTTAACAGTGATAGAAAAAAACTAAAATAAAGTGTGCCACTCACAAAGATACATGGATATGTGTCAAGTGTGCACACAGTTTTCATGTTTCTACCTCTATAAACAGATAAACGCAAAATACACATAGAAGTCAATTCTTATAAATAAACAATTTAGCAATGGTAAATTACAATATCTGTGCTAAATGATATATGTACATGATGTAGTCATTGAAATCTCAGATAGACAGACAGGTGTATTCAGTATTATGGCCACATGGCAATTCGTATAACTCATAATATGAGGTCACGTGCACATACAGAAATTACATCTTCTTGAATCTGATAGAAAAAACATGCTTTATATAAGTAGCCACTGAAAAGATAACATGTTTTTGTGAGTTGATAATATATTGTGAGTTGATAATATTGATCATTTATTTTCGTTAACATTTCAGATTTATAGTCATTATTCAAGAAGGGGAGATATGTAGATCTTAACTTGGAATACTTGTTACACTTAAATAAGACATCTTCAACTTCACCTCTGTCACAATTGGTACAAACACTATCAACTTCATCAATACCTTTCGATTTATGGGATTTATGAGATTCTAAATTTACAAAATGATCTTATTAATGACTTGTCTGGTAAGACGGATAAATACATTTCCTGTTGAAGATGTCTTTAGTTTACCAGAGCTCCAGATAAGCTTTTGGTGTTGTGGGTATTTTACCCATGCATTTTAAAATCATTGGGTATCAGTAATTCTATCTGCGTATTCAAATTTCTGTTACCCACTTGTTTTTACACATGTGGGTATTTAAGTTAAATATTTAAAAACACTATTCATCTAGTCCCTGCAAACTGGTGTCGTGTAGGTTTGAGAGCTTTATAGGACTTAAAAATTCCACGATACTTCCACACGAAAGTGTGATGGCAAATGATCATGATGTGACTGTCATCGTGGAGTTTGGCAAGGTTGACGGGATGCCCGTTTATAATTTCAAAATAAGTTGCTGATTTGCTAATCGAATACGCTGGGTTACTTCACAATATTTTGATGATACGCACAAATTTTATTTTTGTAGCGTATCTGTAATGTTCGTTGCGTATTTGATACGCTTGGATTACATTTTACTGCGTATTTCTGCATTTCTGATGCGTATTTCACGCAGATACGCAGCTTATCTGGAGCTCTGGTTTACTATAATTGCTAAGATAATGCGAAGATGAAACAGTTTTGTTCCAGTTTTTTGCAAATACATCTTTCACTCGCTGCTTAAATATTCCCATAAATACTTGAATGTTTCCAATATCCTCTGCAATCCACACAAAAGAAAAAACACATGTTATAAAAGATTTCTTACTTCAGACACCCAGTTATGTTTACCGTTATCATCCAACTGTTTTAACAATTTATAACATTGAAGAGGATATCTGCATTCTTCCATTCTTAGTAACTTTATCCAGTATTTAACTCCTTTATGCACAAACATATTGCAGTGTCCAGTTTCACCAAGAACTGCTTTATTTGAGGCATATTTACCAATACCAAAAAATCGTTTGAAGTATAAGGTATGTACTTTTTCAATAGCAGCATAATATTTTGTTCCCCATATTTCCGAACCATATAGTAATCTTGGTGCACTTTTACAATAAAAAATATTGCATGCTGTTGACAAATATACCATTATTACATTGCTATTGAAATCTCATCAGTTAGTAACACCATCTTACCAAAATAATAAGCATAGTGTATGTTATTCGATTATGAAAAGAAAATTCATCCTGCCTTTAATCTACTCCAAAACATTTTCACCACATACTACATTATATAACCTATCAGGGATAGAAGCTATAACATTTTTAGTCCAGTAGTCCTTATAATGTCAAATTTCTAGTGGTCCTTATGGTACCAAAACTGTTGGGTAGTTTGCTAAGGACTATGGGACTAGTGCCAACTTCAATTTCTGCCTATACCAGTAATCAATACGGGCGGTGGGGCAGCCTAGTGGTTAAAGCGTTCCTTCGTCACGCCGAAAACCCGGGTTCGATTCCCGACATGGGTACAATGTGTGAAGCCCATTAATAAATTCTGGTGTCCCCCGCCGTGATATTGCTGGAATATTGCTAAAAGCGGCGTAAAATCAAACTCACTCACTCACCGGTAATTAATTAGAAAACTCACTTACAGTCTAAGGTGCTGTGCAGAGTTGTGTCCCTTGGGCACACCAGAAACCTATGATTGTGGGTTCGAATCCCGGTTCATCCCGATTATGTTTCTAGGTTTGCCAGCACCATACCCGTGCTCGTGGATTTCACCGAAGTGGTAAACGTCTGAGACCTGCATCACTTCTGGCTTTTCTCCCTTATTCAGCTGACACGCCGCGATATAACTGGAATACTGCGGCGTTAAACCCAACACGCTCACTCCAGTCTTTCACTAATCAAAGAAGTAAAACAATAGCAATATTTGTTCTTGTTTATCAGGATGGAAAGTGTTCGAGCACTTCCATATAATACTAAACATAAAGATTTGAGGACACCTCCATAGGAGGCCGTGTTTGTAAAAGTACTTTTGTAATCAAAGCTCTAAGTACAAATACAAAAAAAAGTGGAAGTACTTCCTAAAGCTGTTGACACTCAATAATCTTTTCCTCCATAAAAATATCAATAATATATGTATTGATATAATTTCTCCGTAAACCATTAATGTTTTAGCGTGTTATTCTTTGTGTTGCTACTGGCTCATGGACAATTGCTGTGTTTGGAAGGTTTGTCTTTGATGGCGCCATAATCCTAATTCTGTTTTTACCTGTCTGTAATCTTTATTTACTCTGTGATCTTAAAAAACAAAGTTAATACAATGTTTGTACATAGTGTCCTCGCATACCATCAGGCTAATTCAGGTATTTAGGGGAATATCTCGGGGTATTATTTCCAGCCCATGTTTAGTCGCCAGTGGGGATCTTTATCTGTATTCAACAGTCTTTTCAAAACCAGTCAATTGTGAATATCGTGTTTCTTCTATTGATAAGCCATACATCAACGCCCATTGATTTGTGTGGTGACATTGAGAGGGGCACTTCACAGTGTTGTAAGTTTTAGAGAGGTCTCTGATGGACATTAATCAGTGTGGACCTCCACAGTGTTGACATTTCTAGACATTCCATGTTTGAGGTAGGTGTTATTATATACTGGCTATTGAAATAGTGATCATTTGTTTGATATTTTGTTTTTTACCATCTGCTGATGTGTGATTTTTGAGTTTGATAGTTTACTTGTAAATTCAATTATTAGAACTACAGACGAGCTGCATATCTGCATGGAATAAGCTAATTATACCCCTGTTTAAATCGGGGGTATATAGCGTTCCGTCCGTCCAACCATCCGTCCTTCCGTCCGAGCTTTAGTACGGCCCATAACTTTTAAACCATGCACCCTAGCTTCACCAAACTTGCTACACACATTTACCACAATGAGTACTTGTGCCTTTTGCGAGTTTGAAGATTCTGAATGTTTTACTTTTTTGCTGTTTCCATGGACACATTAAGAAACATCAAGAATGTATGTTGTGCTAAGCATTGATTATGGCACACTAGATTGAGATATATTTGCAAAAACATGTGTTCATTTCAAACATAATGCATCCTCATGGGGTTACAAAGGAAAGGGCAGTTCCTCTGACTTAAAGCAACAGGTATATTTCATTAATTAACAAACTATTTACTATTTGTTGTTGACCAGCGGGGATAACGGGGATATGTGAGGTTTGCTCACTTCTTTCTTGTTATATTTATGTTGCTAAAAACAAACCTGCAAAAAATAGTATACCAACATTGCGTTCCAGTGTACAGGGATCACAGACATTAACAATACTGCCGTGAATAATGCCCAAAGATTATTGTAACTTAAATTTGACATACAGTCGAACTTTGATGTGTCAAACTTACGTTTATCTCGAAGTATAAGCTTGGTCTCTGCATATTCCTTCGTTATTTATCATTTTCGGTTGTGTCGAAACTCTGATAATTAGGAGCATTAACAAAGTTCCCTCAGGGGTTGAAATTTAAAAAAATATGTTACTTGACCAAGGGCAAGTATGACCAACATTCTAACTTGCTCTATTTTTAAATGTACTTGCCCAAAATCAAGCTAATAAATTCAGTAAAATGTTACATCTACAGAACTGAGAATCTGAGATACACACTTGTTCCTTCGCTATTGCGCCCCTCAACATGCTCAATATAGCGCCAACTCGGTTATAGCGTGCAGTAACGCATAGCTCCCAAAAAGTACTTGCATATAAACTCAAGTTTTACACTGACACAATGTTTTCCTCACATCTAAAAAAAACCCCATTATCAGCTGATCACCGTGAGCGGGTAATCAGGGTTAGAAACTAACAGTTTTTG